GTTTAGGCATTTATCTCTTTTTTCACTTCCAGAAGTCTCGGGCATTCCCGAAAGGAAGTCATTACTGGCGAAGTTCCAGTGCACACTCGTATATTTTCAAGCAAATCTGGCTTATATCAATGGCTTACGTACACAAAAAATTCTTTGTTTCTTTAGCAACGCTCTGAATAACTCAGATCCAACAGCGTCAAGTAAATTTTGATTTATGAATAAGCTAACGAATTGGAGGCCGGTCACGGTAGCCGAGCGGTCTAAGGCATGCACTGTCTTCGCTCGCTCGGAAGCCGGGATCGTGGGTTCGAATTCCACTCAGGGCATGGATGTTTTTGTGCGTTTTTCTGTGTTTGTGTACAGGTAGAGGCCTTGCGACGAGCTGATCACTCGCCCAAGGAGTCCTTATGTTGAAGATCTAGAAAAACCGAAGTGAAATGAGCTCATGGGGGTAGGCCTAGGCCCACTGGGGCTGTAGTGCCAAGGAAAAAAAAAACGAATTTTAGAGCCTATTGAAGGAAGTCTCTGCTGCGTAATTCAAGGCACTTTCTCAATAATTGCCTGAAGATACTGAGGAAAGCCATGAAAATACCTCAGTCACTATAGCCGATATCCAGATAGATTTAAACTCTTAGACTACATTCTGAGATCTTGAAAAGGTTTTTAAAGCCTACCGAACGAGTATTAGGCAGCCCACGTAAAGCCAAAAGTTTAGACTAGATTCACTAATTGTAAGATCCACATCATTTAAGGTCCCAATTGAATCTTTATGCTTGTCTTCTTTCATTCCTTTGAGATATTTCCATGAAAACAGATATATCGTGTTACAGTTATACGAATATTATGCCTACCCACACAAGCATTTCATTCGCTGTAATTATATCAGTTTTAAATGCAATAATACGTGCCTATACGAATCTAATATAAACGAGCATAGCCCTTTTTTACATTTACACTTCGAAGATAGTATTCCAGTACTCCCACGTCTGGACTTCGTTTATTTCAATTCATATTGAGGTCTATATTATTTAAGAACACGAATCCATTCTTGAGAACTTTTTTTGTAAAGCATTCATATGACAGAAGCATATCTTGAATGTAAGCTGTAAAATATATAGCATACACTATTCATATAAATCTAACTGATTTAGGGAGTAATGACAATACGTACGATGTGCACGCCATCTCTCATTTGCCCCTCACAATTTAACGCATTTCATACTTTACGAAGACCACAGATAGATGTCACTCTTGATCGAGGTACACAACTGTCTACCGCCACCTAAGCGAGTAAGTTGCTATTCTTCGTGTTTACAGAAACCATGGTCTTCTGGGAACAGTTCTGCAGATAGATACCACTGTTTCGAAGAGCCTGTTGCCTCCAACTTAAGGGGGCCCATACACGTAAGAATATGGCTCGCGAGTCCGACTCGGCTCGGGTTCCAATGAGCCAGACTCGTCCTTGTGTGAGTCCCCACGCTCATATGTGTGTGGTGAAATTAATCCGAGCCCGGCTCCTCGCCGAGCCGGACTCGCGAGCCAGACTCGTATGTGTATGGGCCGCCTTAGGGATTGAAGTGTTTACTTCTTGTTTAGAGACTTCTATATAATTTTTGGATATAAAAGGCAGGTGTCAGAATTACGTTCTTTGATTCAGATCTTAGGCATTTTTAACCACTCCACTATAAAGCAACGAACACAACTGTCCGTATAGTAACACGAAGAAGAGACTCAAGACTCAAAATACCTAATCTAGAGAGTGAACAATGTTCAATATGTTTCCTGTTCAGTGAGAGCCTGTGTGAAATACATCAAATATTATAATTCCAGCTCCAGTTTCATTCAACTTAAAATTTAAACAAATTAGGAAATGCAAGCACATCGAAACAATTCTGGAGTGTTCGCTGACTTTTGTTTAGTCGTTTCGAAAGCAGTGTGACTTATGAAAAATATGTTCTGGCAGTGAAATTTGTCTCCTTCTTCCCTACCAAGTTTTTCGGAAAAAAAAATTTACTCTGATAAATACAAATAATTTGTTAGTTTCACGCGAATTACGCTGGAAATATGCCAAGAAACGCACACCTATATTCTTGTAAAATATCCATTATTACCCTGTTTTAACATATTTTAAATGTAAGAGTTCTGTCTTCTACTATATAAAGACTTGCAGCCCGCTAAAAGTCAACTGACAATTCGGACGAACATGTCACCTCCATCTCCAGGGTCAAAGGTTAAGGAGAGCAAGAAACCAGAGTGAAAGAAGGTGAAAAGTAGAAAATAGAACCCTTCATAACCACCGCTGTGAGAATCTCAAATCTTTCAAATCAGAAAATCACAGTTCCTAACAAAAACCTCCAACATAAAATTTCATGAAAATCTTTCAGCAGTTCTCGAGCTGTTATATGAGACAGACTGAGAGACAAATATGTATGATGATATCAGTTTTTGCAAAGTTTTGCTGCGAAAACGCAAAAAAATAAAAAATCTCTTTTATAAAATTTCGAAATTCATACTGACGACTGATTGCAATCTAGAGTCCTCTACCAATCAGCGCTGACAATAAGGAAAAATATTCCGACATTTTGGAAACTTCAATATAAATATTTATTTGCTTTATCGTAACAGTTTTCTAAATTTTTTTATAAGCATTTTTGTTGGTACCCAATGTCCTATGGGTGGACAAGGACTGACCAACTAAATCTCTTAGACTCGAACACAGTTCCCTCTTCTCATTGCATGTTTTTCTGCCTGTACGTGCGTATGTAGGCATGCTCGAAAACATACGATCTTGTGTTCATAGTTAAATGTGCATTCTCACGCCTGCCATATCACTGTCAGAATTCCGGGTCCAGAGGTGCTGTAGTCGCCAGGTGAGACATTGGGCAGAGGACAAGGACTGGAAAAAAATCCAGTTGACTCGGAGTTCGTGTTCTTTTTCTGTAGTCTTGCATCTCTCAAAATGGGTGTGTTAAACAAGACTGAATACAAATAACCATATATCGTTTCCAATAACTAGGGAGCGAAAATTAACACAAGACGAAGAGGAAGATGCTTTCTTCCTGTTGGTCACCAGGCAAAGTACGGCGATTCGCTTGACATATCGCTATCTTATAGAAAACAGAGAGGCAGAAACTTAGCACCATAATAAGGTTCACACATAGCAATGTCCTGCAGATATTTCAGTGTCCTCAGGGTAATGGCTGATGATTACAGGCAATAAATGGCATTAAGAATTTTGGACACTGCTTTGTTACAACCGAAAGACCAGTATGTACTGTGTGCGGTACCTTCTCAATGTTAGACCCTACTCCATAGACACCTTGAACGAAGTATAACCACAATGCATTTCATAGTTAAATCGGTTACATAACGGCATTACATTTCTGCAGACGGCACGACAAAGCAAAACGTCATAGGAATAGGCTGTACACAAGTTTTGGCACCCTTGCTTGATATGCTGAGAGCCAACATTTATCTATCATGTGTCACTAAAGTAAGAGGAAAATATTGTCCTAAGAATCCTCAAAATTAGTGACTGCATTAACACATTCTGAAATTTATTTTGTGACGTTGCTACAGTTGTTGACATAGCTTGAAGATGAAGGGTATTAGCACGTACTCGAGCTCAAGGCGCCATGAAAAACCGTTCATAGAGACTGGATAACCCGTCTCTGCATATTTTGAAACAGGCGTACCTCTAACACAAGTACGACGCCGTACCAGTAGGCAAATATGCCTGTACAACTTTACTATAGGATTCTGACGATGGTGTATAACACACTGATATATTTGGTTTTTGGACTTTAGCCATCGTCCTGGGTTTTAAGATAACTAATAAAAACACGACGTTTCGGAAACTGGATCTGTTTCCGTCCTCAGGTGAAGGAAAACACCTATTCTGGTGGGTCCGTTAGAAAGAGCTAGCCTCAATCACTGGTGATCTTAAAAACCAGGACGATGGATAAAGTCCAAAAACCCAATATATCAGTCTGTACAACTTTGTTCTAGACACTACGTAATCCATATTCTGCTGTGCATGGTTCTTCTCTGCAAAATGTAGGTTCTCTCAGCTAGTAAGTTCTTACTCATGTTTGTGTAACTTCAAGGAGAGTTACCTTTTTCATAGACGTCCCTCAACTCTCCTTATCCTGTGCCAGTTTGTTGCAACTCACATGCTCTGAGACCCATGTCGATGTTCTCTTCCCATCCACTTATGCCTAGGTCTCCTAATTTGTCTCTTCCCTTGATATTTCCAGACTAAAGTTCTGGAAGAATTTCTCATCTCCCTCAGGTGTGGGACATGTCCCGTCAATATGATAGTTCTGAATGAATTGCCATAATAATATATGGGGAAGAGTACAAGTTATGAAATTCCTCGTTACATAATTTTCTCCTGCTTCATCTTGCGTCATCTTTCCTAGATACAAATATTCTATTCTGTAGGATCTTCTCATTTTATTTTATTTCCATGAAGTCTGATATCATGTATCACTAAAAACGGTCAGTAGAGTTACGGGCTACAGGCTGGATGGCCCGGAATTCAATTCCCTCTAGGAATGAGAGATATTTCTCTTCTCCACAGCTTCAAGAGCATGGTTGGGTCCCTCCTAACAACCTATAACATGGGTACCGGACGTAGAGCGACCGGGGGATGAAATTGACCCCTCATGTCCATCTAGTGCCGGGGTAAAAAAAATGTGGAGATACACCTCCATTCCCTCATTCGTCTTCGCGGTGTTGTGCTTAAATAATTCAGCACAAAGAAAATGTCACTTCTATAAAAGTCATGTTTGCTGGAGCATATGCAACCAGGAGGATTACGGAGACAATTTGTGCAGCGGCACTGCAGCATGCGAAGATGCACATGAGAAGATAAAAATTGTCATGAATCCTTCCTACCAAATGCTTATTTATTCGGCATTTTCAAATCACATTCGTTGTTTCATAACTTCTCTATTTGGAACAGCGTCGTTACGTGAGACTGAGTCACAAATACAATACCGGTAGGGAATGTCGTTAAACTAGATCCTTGAGACATTGCTTGGTTCTCTTCCCACTGGTAATAATAATCTTTATGAGGAATTCGGTACGAACTGACGACAATTTTCAGTGATTTCTATAGAGAGTACTGGAACCACAGGTTTCCGTTGAAATTATGCACATCAGTTACACCATCTGTAGTCCCTTGGTTATAGACTCTACGTGCTCCTTGGCTTTGAGCCTAAGGGCGGCGATGGAGTGGCTGCGTGGGTCATGAGAGGGGGGTGAAGTGACGGGCGGAAGCTTCGGGGCGGCGGTGGACTGGACGCTAGACGTTGCGTCGCTCGTGGGCACGATGGGCGGTGTGAGGTAGCTAGGGTAGCCGGTCTGCGGATGAGAGAGGAAGCCGGGCAGTGCGCTGATCAGTGGCGGTGCCAGCCACGGGTCCACGGGAAGTGCGAGGCTCGTTCCCGCGGCGCGCCCGAGGGATCCCACGGAATGATAGTCGTTAAGCCCTAGCCGTGCAGCCTCCATCTTCTCCTGACGTCGCCATTTCGCACGCCGGTTCTGGAACCAGACCTGCACACACAAAGCCACGTAATTCTGCAAGACGGGTCGCGCAGACATGTTGGGTAGCAACATAGCAACTAAATTACTCTGTTAACACTCAACGGAGTGAGAATCTTATTAATAAGATTTAAGTAATAAGTTCCTACCTCACAAAAACATTGCACTTCAATTACAAATAACAGTTTATTAATTATATCTAGGGAAGGAATATAGGCCTAAAGCCGTTTATTCTGAGAATCATACAGAACACACTAACACACTTTATGGACAACATGCAGAGTTTCTGATGCTGAAACCGGAAGTGTATTCAGTAACAACTGCCCTTTAAAAGTCTAAACACTTTATTCTATTTTCCCCTATCTGATGTGAGTGCATTGAATGACAGTATAAAATTTTGCAATATAAGGAATAAGAGCTGATGGTCGCTTGAAACAGTTACTATAAAAATAATCACAAATATAATTTTGTCGAACAAAAAGATATGATCTCAGAAATAGTGTTTACATTTTAAACCTGTTGTTGAGCTGATGATGATGACTATCGTGGTAGTAATAGAGACGATCATGACAGTATTTTTACACATTGTATTTAGCTTTTAAGCCTTGTGATATTTTGAATTAGAATTAATTGACCTCGAAAACTTCGAATTCCTAGACAGTCTATTGATATTTGTCTATGGACAGGGAATCTGGCTATAGCAAAGCCCCTAAACAACATGAGAGGAATATTGACAACTCAATTTCATTAAAAGTTCTTATTTATTTATATACTTACACAACCGCCTAAAGGCCAATTTTAAAGTTAGCACGAAAAAATAAAAGAAAACTTAACACAGACAAAAGATGAAACACGGCAACGTGTATTATATACACAGTAAAAGTTCAATAAGGGCAATCACCTCCATCAAGAAGCGGCGAGAAATATATATTTTTATTGAATACATTTTATAATTTAACAGTTAGGCAACTACTGTATAAAATACGACTAATGGGAAATAGTCTTGGTTTCAGATACGTTAGGTTCATACATACAAATTCACCAGCTTATGCACATATAATATAAGGAAAATTTCTACTTAAAGAGCAGATATTGAAAAAAGAGAAGTCTCTGATACAGAGATCTGGAAATCGAGCACCAAGTATTTCCATAAGATGACAGAATAATATTAATTATAACAGCAAAAATAGTGTATTTTTCTTATTTCCAGTCCGAAATTTATTGTATGGCTGTAATCCGGAGCAGCGTTTTACAACCACTGCTGATTGTAGAATCTTTTCGCCAAGATGGAAGGATGGCGTACACCCCGGCCTACTGATGGGTGCCCAACAACCACAGGACAGCTCAATTCCGCAAGCAAATAAGTTAATTAGTCTACTATCTCTCTAACTATGGCTCTACAGCCCTTTGTTGGACCTTGACCGTTCTTTTAGTTTCTTAATCTTTTACACAGCCGATAGTATTCTTTGGACGGACTATCAGCCGGTCGCAAGGCCATTAACTGCACACAGGACAGCACAAACACAGGATAAAAAAAACACACACACACGCAACCATGCCTCGAGTGGGATTCGAACCCACGATCACAGTGTTTGATTGGGCGAAGGCGGTTCGTGATCTAGAAGGCGCTGTCACTGTGATCAGTATCAGTCAACAGTAGTCTGGTTAGATCCATGTATTCCAGATGCTCCTGGTTCGTATCCAGTATGAACTATCATCGGCAAAAAGTTTTCACGTTTTCCTTTAATTTCGGAATTGGATTTAGTATATAGAGAATAATTTACAGAATTGTTACCTGAAATGGAAATACTGTAATTATAATTTGCTGAAAAAGTTCGGTTTCAGGAATTATTCTGCTTCCGTTTTCCCCAGACGTACTCCGTGGCTTGAGGGCAGCTTTACTATAGGGCCCAACAGAGCAAAACAGAACTATTTTCCGAAACGAAATGGTTACAAAAAATTCGGGAGATTGTTAAATTCGAAAGGAATAATTTTAGAAATTGTGTCTTACCAGCGTCAGAAGCTTTAAACCTAACGAGAATCCTGTTCCGGCATTTTAATATTGTGACATGTAAATCCACTGTTAGGCAAGGCCCACTACACACGCGCGGTCAACAATACTGGAGCAGTCTTTCCTTTGTGTCCTTAGTGACGTCACATAACAGTTGGTAGCGGACACATGATATAATTTCTGTAAATACAATCAGTGCCCCAATGGACTGGCTGGGTAGCAATCACATGACATGTGTTTTCTGTGAAGCGTGTCCGTGCTGCGTCTATATAAGTGATCAGAATGCCAAAAATGAAGCAGTAAGCTGGAGGACTGAGCAGTAGACGGAGTTCCTTTGAGTTCCGAGGTTCCATGGTGACTGAATATGAGATGGCAAGAAGACTATATAGTGATTTTTAGTGCTAGTTTCTGCGCTGAGAGACTTAGACTAGAGAGTTTAAGTGAGTTGTCGGTAGGATATAGCCAAGAGAAGTTAGAAGTTGGAGGAGAACTAGAAGTCGACCTGAGAAGTTTTAACGTGTGAACTGAAGACTTCATGTGTGCTGTAGTTCAGTGATATTGGAAGTGTGTGATTCAGAAAGACTTGTATAATTCCTGTGTAATAGATCCGTTGCCGGGAAATAAACTGAAAAGATTAGCGCGGATTGATTTTTAGCGTGAAAATCAGCAATGAGTGATACTTAATTGCAGTTACGACTAGTGAATATCCAATAAATCCAATTGTCAATCCGACCTCCTTCTGTAGTCACAAATACATGGGACGGTATTGTTCTTAAGATGACCGCAATTAAACCCGCGCCGCTTCCATAAATTTGTATAAAGTATAAACTAAGTACCAACTTATTAACATAGTTTCCAGAATTGAGACTATGTTTCCAATCTTAACATGAAACGATTAATATATTTCTCTGTTTAAAACAACGGTCACCATTAGCCTTAATATACGATAGTTCCACACACCTTAATGCTACACATCTACAAACAGTTGATTCAGCTCGCATTAGTGCAAGGCCGACAGCAAGACTATGTTTCATACGTGCGGTTGTCCAAACCGCATAAAGAAGTATTTTGCAGTGAATGTATCTAATTTTCGTGACTATTACAGAGTTAAACACATAAAGGCCATGATGTTGCCTTAGGGTTGTTTCGACTCGCGCTCCCTCTGGCAGGCAAGCAACACACTCTCGCCCCCTAACCCATCCTCCATCTCTCCTGCAGTCAAGTGCTTCAAACTCTGCCAAATTGGTTTTGAACTGATACATTAATTGACAATTTAGCGCAATTCTTCGCGTGGGTAATGGCGTGCTGAAGCTGTCTCAAATTGAGAAAATCTAATAAAGAAACTTCCCCTTCAAAGATTGCGCCTGCATTGAAAAAAACTTCAGCCATGGCTCTGCTAAAGGGAAACGCCAACACCAATAAATACATTGTGGAACGAGGGAACACAAACTTTTGTACAGAAAGCTCGCCTTCAAAAAGAGCTCTCTAAACAAGTTACCAGGATGAAATCTCTCTCCCATTCTCTCTTCCAACCCTCCTCACTTCTTCGCCGTTTCTTTAAAAAAAGCAGGAAATTTCAGTTTCGTTTCAATTTTCTTTAATCTCCACGCTGTAAACGCTGCCCTCTGGCAGCCTTTTAAAAACGTAAACTTGTCCGAAAATGAGTTTCATATGAGAATTGACGAAGATTTAATAAAGCACTCCGCTGACATTCTTCTTTCACAATTCAGTTAGCCTACCTTGGTAAAAGAAAAGATAGAGGTTCTTATAACCGTGTCATTACCGTCTCTCCCGTTGGACACGATTGCTTGGAAAACAACATTTTATGCATATTATATTCTTATAGTATCCCATCAGAAACAAAATGAGAATAATAAGTTGTTGCGAGATTAAACTTGCAAAATGTTGCGTGCGACTTCAAAAGGTGAATACAAAGTATATTAATAAGCCAGTTAGTATACAAAGAACTCAAATTAAAAAGACGAGAATCCTACACTTCCCTCCAAATTAAGTTCCATTTCGCTTCGCTCCCTCGCACCTCCCTCGGAGCCCAACACCCGTTAAGCAACAAATGACCATAGATGTACTAGCTCTTTGTGCTCATCGTTGAGTTACGAATAACATCAGCTTCATATGCTCATAACACAATATTGTCGCGTGTTGCTTATGTAACGCGACAAGTAAATTCACGCGGGTCTCGGATTTGGCTAAGGCGTTTATTGGACAATCTCTTCTACACTCACTCACACTTACTCATGGAGCTGAGCCCTTCTGGAGGAGCCGCCAATTCTGCAGCTACTCAAGAATTTCCCAGCGTTTTATGGAACCCGAAGGTTCATTACCGTGTTCACAAGAGCCCTCCACTATTCTCTATTCTGAGCCAGATCTACCCAATCCACACCATCCCATCCTATCTCTCTAAGATCCATTCTAATATTGTCCACCCACCTACTCCTTGGTCTTCCTTGTGGTCTCTTTCCTTCTGGCTCTCCCACCAATATCCTATACGCATTCCTCGTCTCCCCCATTCGTGCTATACACTTACAATTATTATTAACTTATAACGTCCTTTAGACGTTTCTTCCTCACACTTATAATTACTCGCACCGCTAACCTCTGTGAAGTGTCTTGATCCCTTTGTCTGATGCGACCTGGCTTCTGCTCTAGTCGGAGCTACACTAAGAACTGACTGGTCGCATTGAGAGAGAGAGAGAAAGAGAAAGAAGAAAGAAAGAAAGAAAGTCAGGAATCGATCTTCCAAAACTATTGTTACGTGTATGAAATGTGACTACAGACAGGGTTTGTATTGGTAATTGGATTAATTGAACGCTTATAGATCATAACCCCAAGTAACTGTAACGCTCTTGCCAATTCGAACACATTCCGCAGTTAACTGCAGCACATACTAAGCCTTCCCACTCTGCTGTGCCTTCAACAATCGTTGCCTAGTGACGGATTGCAACATTGTCCTCTCTTTCCGTGCTCACGTTCATACCAGCTT